AACCTAACAATTTTAAGTAATGAAACATTCGATATGAAAACGAACCGTATACCTACACGTAGCAACGGCCGTTCGCTTGTAACACGAATTAACGTAACGATGTGTTTTCTCTTTTTCTCTCTTCGTTTAATTGACAGACTAATAGCACAGAGACTTTATACTACCCGTTGACTTTTTTTTGTTCTTTTCAGTGTTCCGTCGAGTATTCGTACGAAAACGTCGGACCAAGTTGATCTTGCGGTTCAAAAATCATTTCCGGTTAATTTCACGTTGCAATGAAAAATTTATCGGCGTATCCTTGATTACTCGTATCCTTCGTTTCTATGCTACGAAAACAAAACAAAAAAAAAAGAGAGAGAAACGTGTCAACGAAACTACATAGACCACGGTCGTGAAATACGATGTTACTCCGTGACAACTTAACGTCCGATTCGAGGTACAATTGCTGGACGAACGCTGAACGAGTTCACAACGGTGTGTAACGTGTAGAGACTATCGTGACGAGAGGTTAACAAACGGGTCGTCTTGGCACGACTTAGCACACATCGGGCTAAGGTGCGTCGATCTACAGGATGTCCCGAGAAATGTCTCACGATCCGGAAGTGGGAGGTTCCTGACGTGATTTGAAGCAACTTTTTCCTTTGCGAAAATGTTCAACGACGCTTCGTTTACGAGTTATCAACGAAAAACGCTGACCAATCGGCGAGCGAGCGCGGCCGGCGCTCCACCAGCACGGCCAATGCCGCGTCGCGCCGGCCGTCTGACGCGGCGACGGTGGTCGCAAGGGCGGCGCGTCGGCCGCGCGCGATCTCTCATTGGTCACCGTTTTTCGTTAATAACTCGTAAACGAGGCCGCGGATCGCATTTTCGCTGAGGAAAAAGTTGCTTCGAATCACCTCAGAAATCCTCTACTTTCGGATTACGTAAAATTTTTTGGGATCACTCTGTATGTATGTAAGAAGGTTGTAATCGATCTTCGATCGGAGTCTTACAAAGCACACTGGGATTAGAAGAACATTGACAATGTTATGATCGTGTCGCCGTAAGATATATATATATATATATATATTATTTTGTATGTTAGTACGAATAGCTTATAGCGTTATTAGACGAATAAAAACAGTATCACATAATATCAAAGACTACGTTACGTAGCTACATTATATAAACCTCTCCCCGTGAGCAGGTATCTTAATCGTCGATCCGCGTTTATAGAATCTTAATTCTTCTTCTATCAAATTCGCCGTTATAAATTGTGTCGTATCAAAGACCGTTCTCTCGTCTAATTCCATTCTGACGTCTATCGACTATGTATAGATCGAATTAATGTTTAAACATCAACGATGAG